AAGAAAAATTTCAATAAATATTAGTTTTGCGATAAATTTTCTTAGTTATTTAAACAATTTTAATAAATAATTGCATTGTAGGGACATTTTTGGACGTTTTATTCTTTTGTTAAAATATTTTTATCTTTAATTGTTAATGCTACTTATTGGTAAAAATAAGAGAAATTGAAGCAAAACTTTGTTTTCATTAGAAGATATTAACTGTATAATTTAATCTTAAAACAGAATATTAATTTTTGACCAAAAATGTTTTATCAATTTGTTTATAAAAATGATAAAGTTATTTAAAAAATAATTTATATTCGATGACAATCTCTGGGCAACTTAGAAGAAAACTTAATTGGAAAAATTTGATTTTTTTCTGTCCAAAAATGTCCCTAAAATACTATTGTTTATTAAAAATGGTTTAAATAATATTTAGAAAAATCATCGCAAAACATCAGTTTCATTAAAAAAAAGATAAATTGATAAATTGCAATAAGCTGCAGTAAATTTATAAAAAGAAACAATTTCTTTTAGGCACAACTGCTCCTAAAGTGTAATTGTTTATATAATTTGTTTATAAAACTGATTAAGTTATTTGCAAAATAACATTTTAATGAGGATACTCTCCAGGCTGCTTAGAAGAAACATTAATCGTAATAAATTTGATTCACTTCTGCGCAAAAATGACAAACAAATTTTTTTAGTCCTATCTTCGCCTAGAGTGTAATTGTTAATTAATTTTTTACTACTTACACACCCCCAGACATAAAATGTATGCAATATTGAGTATGTAAAAAAATTTTTGAAAAGTTAAAAAAATAATTTTTTTCACTTTACATTAACATTAATAATTTATAAAAAAAAATTTAAAAAATCGACTTTCACAGATCTTTTTAGAATTTAGTTCTGAGTAGGATGAGGGGAAACAATTTTTAATTTGGTTGAAAATTGTGGTCTAAAAGATAATTTGAACTAAATTTTGTCTTTTTATCCCACTGTGGAGCACAGCAAACGCGGTCTTTTTTTTAAATACACGTGATAAAATAATTTTATTAAAATTCATCAAACAGAACGAGAGGAAAAAATTTTTCAATACTGTGATACGTAAAAATTGTTTAAACAATAACTCTTAAAAAAATTAAAATTTTGCATAATCAACTTTGGGGTCTAAAAACTAAAAAACAAAACAAATATATGGAAAATAAATTTAAAGGTCAATTAGAACCATCAGAATTGACATGATTTGGAGAAATCGAAGATTCATTGGTGATGCAGGGGAGTGAATGAAAAGCATTAGTCGAAAGAGTGAGAGCTCCATAATTTGTAGTCGAAGGGAATCCACTTCGAAATTCCCGAGTTCTGAGGGGTTGAAACATTCCCGAAGGAGTCATAGCGCCAGTATATTCATGGAAAGATGTATATATATATATATATATATATATATATATATATATATATATATATATATATATATATATTCATATATGTATAAAACGGTACAAACACAGTTTTGGGATTCATTCTAGTATAGGCTGAAATTACTGTATAGGTACGGTGTGCATACAAATGCAACGAAAGGCTCATGCACAGTTCCATACATGCGAACGAATGCGGCTACCTACATGTACATATGGAATCTCAAAAGTAGATATGGTACCCAGCGGTTAGACCTTGCGTACTTACCTGCATAATTCACAACACGACACTTGTGGAAGATATTGAGGCGAAATATATTCACATATAAATATATAGAGCAGTTCAAGTAATTGCTTGAATCTGAGTAAAAAAAATTTTCTCTTCGAATCTCAGCTTTCAATATAATTTAAAATGTATAGCATATAGTGTATATAAAATATTATTTATACATATTTTATGCATGAAATAGTTTTATTAAGTCACGCTCGAATATAAAGAAGAAAATTTTTTTCTCCAATTCAACGAATTTCATTGTTTGCTTTCACAGTAAAACGTGAGGTGTTAAAATTTTAGAGAAATTACAAATGCATTGCGGAAATTCAATTATTTTTAAAAGTAATAAAATTTTTCGCAAAAATTCAATTATTTTCAAAAATTAAAAAAAATTCTCGGCAAAATTTCAATTATTTTTAGAAATAATAAAATTCTTCTCCAAAATTCAATTATTTTCAAAAATTTTAATAAAATTCTTGGCAAACAATTAATTATTTTCATAAAATAATAAAAATTACACAAGAAATCAATTATTTACAAATATTCTATAAATTGCTTCGCAATAATTCAATTATTTTCATAAATAATAAAATTTTAACAGGGATTCAATTATTTTCGTAAATAGTAAAATGCTTTTAAGGAAAACAATTATTTTCATAAATAATGAAACTCATTGCAGAATTTCAATTATTTTTTATACAATAATTTTAATCAAATTTCTCAAAAAATGTAATTATTCTTAAAAATTTTGTTAAAATTTGTAGAGAGAATTTACTTATTTAAAAATTTATTTGATGAAATTCTTTATGAGCATTCAATTTTAAGAAACATTTAATTAATAAATTATTTATTTTTGTATTTAAATAATTGAATTCTCGTAAAATTTACTAATAAAAATGGTTTTAAAAATAAATTTCAATTAAAATTTTAGATTATAATTAAATATTAAAAGCATTATAACGTGGATTTTAAGAAATAATTAAATTTTGAAAAAGTTTCAAATTAAAATCATTGAAATTCTTAATTTTTCATATTTTTGACAAACAATTCTGTAGAATTAATTCTTTTTTAAAGTTTAATAGGATTTTTATTGAAATTATTTCAAGTTTTTATTTTTCAATATAATATTTAATTGCAGAATTTTCGAATATTTGAAATTTTGTAAAATTGAATTGTAAACGAATGAATTTGAAAATTCTCAAAGAACTTTTTTAAAAATTATTAAAAATAATGCATTTATTGGAGAATTTTAGTTAAGAACACTAGAAAAAAATTTAATTTTAGAGAAGTTACAAATAATTGCAGACATTCAATTATTTTTAAGAGTAATAAAATTCTTCTTAAGGATACAATTATTTTTACTAATAATAAAACTCATCGCAGCGTTTCAATTATTTTTCATACAATTATAATTGAATTCTTTGAAAAAAGTAATTATGTTCATGCAAGTTTTAATAAAATTCGACAAAAGAATTCAATTATTTAAATATTTGTTAATAAAATTCTTTATGAGAATTGAATTTTTAGAAACATTCAATTGTTCAATTAATTATTTACTTTTGCATTTAAATAATTAAATTCTTGTAGAATTTTCTAATAAAAATTGATTTTCATTTCATAAAAATGAATTTCAGTTAAAATTTTAGATTATAATTGAATATTAAAAGCAATATAGCGTAAATTTTTAGAAACAATTGAATTTTGAAATTAATTTTTTTGAAAAAGTTTAATTGAATTTTATTTTTTATTATTTGAAGTTTTTATTTTCTAATATGCATTTAATTAAAGAATTTAGGAATAATTGAAATTTCGTGAAATTGAATATTGTAAACAAATGGATTAGAAAATTGCCAAAGAACTTTTTCGAAAATTATTAAAAATAATAGATATAAAGTAAAATTGTAGTTAAAAATTTTTGAAAATAATAATTGAATTGAAATAATGAAAATAATTTTGAAGAAGTAAAATATTCTTCTAATATAAAATAATGATTTTATTACTTGGTCATCTTTAATTATTATAAAATATGAAGAAATCGATGACTCCGAGTCGAAGACTCGGAGTTATCGATATTTTCATGTTTTATAGTTATAAAAAAATTTAATGAACTAAAATTTCATTCATTGTAAAAAATAACACCAAAATTGATTATTTTAATCTTCTTTGGTATTAATTTAATCTGCAACACTTTTTAATACCTCGCGATTTACTGTGTTATTTTATTGATAATTGTTTATTTTATATTTTTATAAATTGTTTTGCCCTACAAAAAAGGAACGTAATTAAATGAATTATTTTTTTAACAAATCACAGTTTTTTAAAAACTCGACATTTGTTAAAAACTAGTTTGCATAATATAAATTTATTTTATACTTTTTTATTTTAATAAATGTACTGAAATGTAGTCAAATATAATTTAATTTAAATTTATTTAATAAATGAATAAAGTTTATATAAAAAATATTTTATTATAATAAATAAAATTTTAATTTTGTCTTTATACATAAAATTTTTCGTTTCTTCCTTCTTTTGGGATAAAATAAAAATATCTTCCTCAGTGGAAATTAGTCTGATGAAAAAAAAACTATATTACAACTTTTTAGTATTGAATATTTCAGTATACTATAAACTTTAACAGGTGCTTCCACTTTGAAATAAAAACTTTTATTTTATATAACTTGTAAGGAAAAGTTATAAGAGAAGTTATTTATTAATGAAATGCGCAGTTGCAGAATTTGAATTATAAATGGCTTCTTTTAAATATTAAATTACTACATCTTTTGCCAAGTTAATCATTATAGATATTTAAATGAATTTTTAATTTACATAATTATTTTAATTTCACAATATTTTTAATCAAACTTGTAAAAACATTGTAAAGTTCACGAGGCTGTTGTTATTTTATAATAATTATAATTATGTTTCTAATTATATTTATATTAATTAATTAATATAATTAATTATATTAATAAATAAAAATATTGTAATAATACCATCCTTTTCACTGAAGAAGATATTTTTATTTTGTCAAAAAAGGAACAAAAAACTGTAGTAGGTACATATAATTTAAAAATTAAAATTCTATTCAATATTTATTATTTAGTAAAAAAAAATTGTCGAGAAACAATCTCTATAAAAATTCGTACAATTTTTATTCCTTGGGGGAATATTTATAATAATAACAATAGTAATTGTAATAATACCAATACATTTTTATCTGTTCGCAATTCTTCAGCTGATAATATTATTAAAACTTTTATTATACCTTTTTTATTTTTGTTAAAAAACATAAAAGAAATGTGAAATAAAAAAGCGAATAAAGGGAATTAATTGCCAAAGAATGTTTTTTTTATCTTTTATTGGTTTGTATTACATTTTTGCTATATATAAGTTTATATTTACATTCACAATTTATCAAACATCAGCTCCAAAGAATTTGGCTATTGCACAAACGAACCAAGCACTAAAGATTTTACCTGAAAATAATATGAAATGTTATTTTTTATCGACATATTTTTACTTTTAATTATTTATCTATTTATATTTTTTATATTTTTTATATTTTATTGCATTTTATTGTACTTTATTTTCTTATTTTAAAATAAATTAGTTAAAGTTCATGAACAATTTTTAATATAATTTTGATAGTAGAAAGTATTTAATTTCTGCATCGGAGAAAAAACTTACGACAAATTTTTTTTCCCAGCGGTTCCAGATTACCACAATATTCATTCTTTTTAAGAACTCTACCTATTTCTTGCAATCTCTTTGAATCTCTCGTTATACTTCCTTCTTCTGCATCCTTTTTAACTTTTTCTGAAAAAAGAAGATTATACTTTTTTTTTATATAGAAGACAAATATGAATCCTTCCGTTTCTTTCATATTTGTGAAATTATATTTTACATTTTTTTTTCAATGTATAAAGAATATTCATTTTACCACAAATTCCGTCATTTAAAAGTTGCTGTATTTTTGTTTCTAATTTGTGAGCAGTCATAATTCCTCCTTTTAACTTTGCCATTTTGTCTATAAATAATAAAATTCCTTTTGATAATTTTTCTCATTTTTTTATGTATATAATTATATATGGTATAAAATATAAAAAAAATTTAATTTAAGGAATAATCTATAATAATATAATTACTGATAAATTAATAATATTGTAATTGTTATTTGGAAATAATTTTCTTAAATTATTAATTAAGTAAATAAAGATTAAAGTAGAGATTAAAGTAAATAGAGAATAAATACCTAAAAATGTTTTAATAAAATATAATTAGTATTAAAAGTGAATCTAATAAAATATTTAATTTTAATTTAGTTAAATTTAATTTACATAATTCGAGTTATTTTATTTTAAAAGAATATATTTATCGTATCTATATTTAAATTCTCTTTAGATATATTAATTCGGGAATATAAACGTTGAGGAATATTTATTTTACCGCAATAAGATGAGATGCCACTGAATTTTTGAACGACTCTCCCAATAGCTACATATTTTTCGTAGTCATCTGGGAAAAGTAATAGAAGTAAATCATTTGGCTCCTCTTCTGTAAGTGAAAAAGAAATTTATTTACAAAATGTACAATGAATTATAAAATCTATTTAATGGCATTCTATTATTATTCTACATTATATTATTACAATATTGTATTTAAATTTACTTACGACAGAATGAATTGCTTTCAATTGTGTCAATTAATTTTTGATAATCTTCGTGATTATTAATCTTTATTCTTGCTCCAGTACCAAATTGCTTTTCGTATTCAAATAAAATAGTCTCGCTAATACTATAACAATAGTAGCGGTTATTTCTTACAAATATTTGACGTGGTCCACACATAACTGAAAAATTAAAAAAATTTGTTTTTAAATAAACAAAAATATATTTTTTACTCCCCATTGTAAATGTTTAATAATTATTATTAACAGTTCAGTGTTGTTATTATAACAACACTGAACTGTTATTAACATTGAATCATTTATTGTATTTAATTTATTTAAATCATTTATTTATAATAATACTTTTTTTTATTAAATAATTAATTAATTTATAATAATTCGTAAGATTTGCATTTTTTTATAATACAACAAATGAATAGGTATTAATTATTTATTTCCGATAACGAATCAATAAATTTTAATTTACTCACGTTCAGCAGCACTTCTATCAGCAAAGCCTTTAGCCCATTTTTCTCCTTTTTGACACCAAACGGCAGAAATTAGCAATAATAGTGACAAAATTTTAATACAATTCATTTTAAAGAATTTTACAATTATACAAGTTGAGTATAAAATCTCTTTTTTAAATTTACTTCAAATGAAATTTCTTTTTATAGTAAATTTTTCTTTTTTAATCAAATAAATTTCTGTTTTAATTATTCTTTTTTCATTCAATCAATATAAATAAAAAATTACATTGTTATTTTACTTTGTTTCATTATTATAAAAATTCCTTTACTTATTTTTTCAATAAAATTTTTACACTAACTTTTATAAAAAAAAAATTGATTATTTTGTATTGAAATATTATCACGGCTTTTGTTATCAATTTTAAAGCAGATGCAAATTTTATTCTCCATAATAGATATCTGATTATTTTGTTTGTATTGTAAATCATTTCATTTCAAGTTCAATTGACATTTGAAAGAATAATTTTCTTTGTAGATAAAAGAGAATAAATTTCTTGAGTATTGAAATTTTTTTCTTTACTTTATAAAGAATTTTGTATTGTCATTTTTTTATTGTAATGACAATTTATTATTATTACTGATAAGAATTTCTTGGAATTTTGATATTTTTCTTTTAGCTCAAAAGAAAAAAAAATGGTTACAAGTATAGTAGAGAACGATTTCTCTTATCAATACGTCCGATTTTCACACATGTTGACAATTGGTTGGGAGAAATTTTTTGATTTTCTATTTTCCTTTTTTTTTGTGATAAAAAATATGCATACAATATGTGAAACTCGAGACACGAATGTGACCCACATAATTCAAAAAAATGTGAATGTAGAAAAGAAAGTAAGGAAAATCTCGTGTTCGACGATGTGAAAAGCAGAGCTAGACGTTCTCGATAGAGTAACTAAATCCGCGAATATGGAATGGTGTACGAAAAGATAAAAAAAAAGAAATAAAGAATTTCCCTTTTTTTTATTTCTAAAAATATAACACGCTTAAATTTTTCAGAAAAGAATTCACATATTATTGAGAATTTTTCACAGGAAAATCCCACTTATTCATTCTTTTTATAAACTTTTCAACTTTTCTGACCATGAGAGATTTAACAAAAATTTTATCTTCCATCGACATTTTTTTATTCCATCTGCATTTTACACTTGTGAAATTTCATATTAAATTATAAAATTAAAAATCCACTGCTTTTATTGCGGATTAGTAAAATAATATGACTTATGAGAATTTTTTTCTCTTCTATTTTGTCAAATCGAATTTTTTCTACACTCTGAAACGTTTTCTTTTGTATGTAAGGTAAATTTAATTATCGTTTAATATACAAACGACTTTATTATAAATAAATAAACACTGGCAACAATTCATGCACTAAAGCACGTGGCTAACTTCTTACTACCTTTTTGTAAATAAAATTAGCAATTTTAAAAATAATAGAATTTAAAAATTTTCTAATTAAAATTTTTGTTGAAAACACTGAAAAAATTCAATTTTTGAGAAATTACAAATAATTGCAGAAATTCAATTATTTTCAAAAGAAATAAAATTCTTCCTTTAAATTTCAACTGTGTTCAAAATTTGAAAAAAAATTCTCGTAAAAATCCCAATTATCTTTATAAATAACAAAATTCTTCTCCAAAGTTCAATAATTTTCTTAAATGTCAAAAAAAATTCTTGTCCTAATTTCAATTATTTTCAAAAATAAAATGCATTTTTCTAATTTCAATGATTTTCAATATCTACTATTTAATTTACTATTTAATTTCCCAAAAAGAATTCAATTATTATTTTCATAAAAAATAATTTAAAATTCTAGAAAATAATAATTGAATTAAAATGATGAAAATAATTTTGATGAAGTTACAGTAACAATATTCTTATTATATAAAATAATGATTTTATCTCTCGGTCATCTTTAATTATTAGAAAACATGAAGAAATCGTTCACTCCGAGTCTTCGACTCGGAGCAATCGATATCTTCATGTTTTATAACAATATTTTTATTAGTTTCTTAATTTAAAAAAGATTTGAATTTGAAATTTTTGAATGTTTTAATTCCTGTGGAAAATCCTGTTCCAAAAAGAAGATTAAAAATAGAAATTGTGCAAACATTTTTCTTCTTTTTCTAAAACAAAATAATAATTTTGTTAAAAAAATTGTGATTCTTAAAGAAAAATAATGCAAAATAAATAAATTTTCTATTTCTTAGGTAATTACAGTTGTTTAACAATTTTCTAATTTTTTTTTAGAAGTATAGAACAAAAATCTGCATAATTTCAATTTGACAAAACATAATATCTAACAAAATTTTAGTCTTTTAATGAAAGGAAGTGAAAAAAAATTCTAATGATTTCTATTTGTCATTACAATTTTGAATTAATTATAACATATAATATTTGTACAACTAGTAGGTTGCATCATCAATTCATTTTTACAATTTACAATTTTAATGTAATGTATTAAATTTTTTCTATAAAACTATTAACAGCATGTGACTGTTACAGAAATCAATGTTAATTTTTTCGACCACTTTTTTCTTAAAATATTAAATAAATTAAGCTAGTTTTTTGTGAATAACTCTAAAATATAATAAAGAAGAGCAGTGATGTGCAAAAGTTTTAATAATTCTAAAACAAATTATAAAAAAATACTTTAAAATCGGAAAAGACGAGAAATTGATTAAAAGTAATTTTGAGAACTGATAATTTTAAAGTTATTTTTTAATAAATAATTTTAAAAATATTAAAACTTTTTCACATCACTGCCCTTCTTTATGATATTTTAGAGTTATTCACAAAAAACTAGCTTAATTTATTTAATATTTTAAGAGAAAAGTGGTCGAAAAAATTAACATTGAATTCTGTAACAATCACATGCTGTTAAATAATTTGTAATTCCATAGTAACGCTTTTAGTCGTCATGGAGTAATAATAGACATAAAGAAACAATTTTCATAAATTAGCCAAGGAAAAAGGAAATTAATTTTTATTACTGAATTTTGAATTTCTGATTTAAGAAAACTTGCATTAAAAATAAACAAGGGCCTCACTTGAAACTCAAGTCAGTAAATAGTAGTTAGTATTTTATACGGATTTCGAGAAATAGACAAAGTGTAAACAAGTCGGAGATAAGTCGTGAATACAGTTAGTGCAGTGAAGGTCGACTCAGTGATTTCGGCAACCGGTCATAAAGTGTGAGGCGACTTTTATTACTATTGAAAGGATACCTACGAGTTGAAACCGTTAAGATAACAAACACAATATACAACAAGTTATTTTAAAAATAGAGGGAATATGTAAAGTCAACACAAAAAAATTATCTTTTTCTATGTTGTTTTCCAATTTTCATTGATAAATTTGTGACACTGAGAAAACAGTGTATTTGAATCAAACATAATTCTTTTTCTTATACAGTCAACCAAAAATTATTTTTGAATTAAAAACAACAGGTGTGTATTAAAATAATTTTTTATTTATTAATTAAAGTAGTTATAAGAATAAGAAAATGAATATTAGACAATTTTTTCTATATTTATATCATTTGAATTTAGGCGTGAGTTTTAAAAATTATATACTTTTTTCTGTGAAAGTGTTTATATATTTATTTTTTCTACAATATATCCTTAAAAATTAATTTGTATTGATATATTTTGTAATATTACTTTAATATTGTCATTTAATAAGCTTGCTCAGAATACATTTTATTTCTTTCTATACACGATTATTATATAATAATAATCGACATAATCTGTCCTCACCTGAAGTTAGTGTTATTTTATTCCAATTTTTTGTTTTATAGTTCGAATTTTTATGTCAAAAGTTTGACAGTTAATTTTTAAATAAAAAAATAAGTGGAGTAAGAAAATTTAACTCCAATTTCAAAAACTGAATAAAAAGGTACAGTTGCAATTTTTTTTAAATAATAATAATTAATTATTCTATGAATTTTTCTTTTTTTTATTTAATATTGATTTAAGAAAGAATTTTAGTTAAAACTATAGGTATTTAAAACAATTAACTTATTTATTTCACTCAACTAATTGGATATTTGATATAAATAAACATTTGACACAATTAATTTATTTTATCGCTTCAAGTAAACTAAATTATTTAATTGAAATAATGCATTATTCAATTCAAATATATTATTCAATAGAAACAAATAAACAATATTTGGATCAAATAAATAACTTATTGAAACCAAAATAATGAGTTATTTGAAACATTTAATTAATTTATTTCACTCAATTAATTGGATTTTGATATAATTAAAAATTATTTGGCGCAAATTAATTTATGTTATGGCTTCAAGTAATCTGAATTATTTAATACAAATAATGCATTATTTATTGTTAATGAAGTATTTAATAAGAACAAATAAAAAAATAATTGGATCAAATAAATCACTTATTGAAATGATAATAAATGAGTTATTTGAAACTATTAATTTATTTGTTTCACTCAAGTAAATGGATGTTAGATATAAATACAAATTATTTGTTCTCAATTAATTTTAGGTAATTTTATTTTAACAATATAAAAATCTATTATATTAATAATAAATATGTGTTAAATGTATTAAATATAATAAATTCAGTAAGATTCATATTAATTTAAGTCAATATTTATTAGATCCAATTATTCCATTTATTTGACTTAAGTAATTCGTATTTGGTACAAATAAATATTTATTGGATAATAGACAATGAAAATATTTAATTGAGTCAATTAATTTTTATTTGATTCAATTAAATTTTTTTTTAGCGTAGTTAAGTTAATAACTATTATTATTAATATAATTAATATATTAATATATAATATGTCAGAAATATTGAAGAGGGAGAGAGAGAGTTCCTTGAGAAGGTCAAAATACTGAGGAAGCAGTAAAATTCTCTGACGTTAGGAAAACTGAGCCTTATTCATCCTCCTCTCTCCTCTCTCTCTCTCTCTCTCTCTCTAACCACATTAAACTGCCCCCAAATGTGGCTTTTTCACTGTTCACTCCGCCCCCAAATAAATCCCTTCGACGGCGAGTCATAATTTATATAAGTGCGCATTGCGCTTCATTTATTATCTCTAATGCGACATAAAAGTAAAGTCAGAGGGACATTAGTATAAAAGAAGATG